GTTATGTTTTGCAACTTCTTCCCGTACGCTCTAACCAACAACGTTTGTTTTTGGTCGGGGACCAATTCTTCTTATCAACTTCGGTTTAAAAAGATGTCACTACCTTTCATCCCCAGCATTCCTATATCACGTGATTATATCCGCGCCCTTGGTCGTTCAAAGGTAGCCCCAAATCTATAGTAATTTCTTCGGAGAATAGAAGAAAACTTTTCTTCTCACCACTCTTGGTACGTCTCTTGAATTTTGGTTTTCTTAAATTCTTTGTTCATTAAGATATATTTCTCTGCGGATGTGCGTTGGACCACAACGCCGTTAATAACGGAAGCGTAGGAACACTTTCGAAATCTTCCGAATGCTCCCGCTCCAAAGTCTTAGAAAATATATAAAGAAATTATTTCTCTGCGCTACATACACATCATATAAAGAAGGTCTTGTCAATTTTTTTCTAAATCTTCATCCAAATCATGGCCCAATAACCACTGAAAACAGAGACTTAGTGAGCTTGTTTGAGGAAGACGTAAGTTCAGTTACGAGGGACATGTTGACGAGGGTACGGTTGTAGTGATCGGGTAAGCATTCTCTCCGGGGTCTGCTCCAGAAAGTAACCTTTCTATGTATTAAGTTTTCTGTATGGAACTTTCTTTTTACTAATGGAAGATGAAGGGTGTGGTGACGATTCGAACCTGTGAACGTGGCATGGCAGCTCCTAGATGTAAAGGTCTGAACTGGGGGAACTAAGGAATTTAACTCGTTTGAACATTTGCCAAGGAAAAATCAATAGACTTGTCAGACGGAGGAATGAAAAAAATTAATCACCCACAAAAGATTTTGAACTCTGTCAAGTTTAAAATGGCAAGACCCTGCAGCTCCAGCTCAAAATACGGCCAGTTCATATATATATATATATATATATAGAGAGAGAGAGAGAGAGAGAAAGAGAGAGTTTATATATATATATATATATATATATATATATGCACTGAAGTGAATTTCGTTATCCGGTACATTAAGCACTATTTTGAATCGTAAGCCGTGGAACTAATTTCAATTATTGAGCGCTTTTTGCAATACTGGTAAGCCTTTCCAGGTGGGATATATATATATATATATATATATATATATATATATTAAGACATTTTATGTTTAACATTCTTTTTATAGATACAAATATTTAAGTAAATGGTCTGTTGATAATAAACAGTATCAAACAACATTTACCGGCCTGAACGTCCGAGAAATTTTCATAGAAAATATTCGCCCTCCGACTGGAATCGAACCTGTATCCTGTACGGTTTATGCCTTTACCGATTTGGCCAAGAAGGAGCGTTCAGTTAGCAAGGTCGAATTTACTGTATTTAAACTTCAATCTTCCATGAATCTCTCACCTAACCGAACGCTCCTATGTTTACATATATATATGTGTGTGTGTGAAGAAAAATATACAGAAAAAACAAACAAAAATCTTAATATGCAATTATGCTGTATTAATGTTAATATAAAGTCAACGTCGGACGTTTCGGTCTATTTTAGACCATCTTCAGGACATTTTCATTTAAACATAATTAACATTAGAACATATAAAAATTCAACACGAAAAGAAAAATTATGTTTACATGAAAATGTCCTGAAGATGGTCTAAAATAGATATTTTATTTTATATTAACATTAAAACAGCATAATTGCATATTAAGATTTTGTTTGTTTTTTCTGTATGTATATTTTCTTCATGTTTGTCGGATCTATATCCATATATTTGCTTACATATATATATGTGTGTGTATACTATCTTTCTCTTCTTCTATATATATATATATATATATATATATATATATATATATATATATATATATATATATGCAGAAATATAGTTTTAAAGTGTACTATATGTGCTCAATATCAGAGATAGAGCATATGTAAATATAACACTCAGAGGTGACAGGTTGTTTTCATGCTAGACGCAATCGTCAGGCCTGACGATTGCAACTTACTGTTGACGTTAATGTTTCATTTATATATATATATATATATATATATATATATATATATATGACCATTTTCTATCTATGTCTGACCATTTACCTATCTATCTATTTATCTATCTATCCATCTAACTTATGTAATTCATATATATAATCTATTTCCTGTGTCTCTTTTTCCCTGTCTCTCTCTCTCTCTCTCTCTCTATATATATATATATATATACATATATATCTTTGAACATTTTCTATTTATATCTGACCATTATCTTTTATCTATCTCATTTAATTCATATCTTTCTCTCTCTCTCTCTCTCTCTCTCTCTCTCTATATATATATATATATATATATATATATATATATATTTCTGTTTCCCTGTATCTGTCTGTCTATACTCCATGTTTACTTTGAGCTGGTTTTTTAAAAAACAGAACAGAAATGGCAGGTTAAATAAAAAGTACTTTCTGCAGCGGTCCAAGGACACGACCATTCTTTTCACCATCTTTAGCGATGGATTTGAAATATATTCGTTAAAGCTAGGGGTAAACTTGCGTCCCAAAGACGTTCAATCAGGTAGCGTCTTTGAGAATACAACCTTTCACAATGACAGCAGATTCTTGGTCTTCTCTCTGATTTCGCAACGTTTATTAAAATGAATTTATCCGTGGACATGTGTTGGAACCCAACGCTGTTAGAAACGGAAGCGTAGGAACACTTTCAAATACGTTTCGAGCCTTTTGCACCAAAGTCATGGGAAAGATATAATGTAATTTTTTCTTTATAATACAGACACATCATTTGTCTTAGTGAAGGTCAAATCATTTCTGGGTCACCCATGAAATACAACCCTTTCTGATTTTAAGTTTTCAAGGAGCTGAGCGACGCCAGGTAAAACCTAAAAGGACGTAACATTGTTCTTTGGCAAATTTATATTATTATCCGTTTTAGAAAATCATTCCCCTTTTTACCCTGCGGTGTGAGTGTCATAATGGTTAATAGCACAAAAGACACAATTTGCTTTGACCTTACTCCTATTTACTTTGAGAAAGGCATGAACTCATCTCTTCCCGCTCTACCAATTTCAGCTATAGATAAAAAGCAGAATATACTAACCAGACCTTGAAAAGGGAAAATCTGGATTTCGCAAACAGGCCAGGAAATTGTAGGGGATAATGGATAAAATGAGAAGATATAGGTGACGAAGTTTGGAAGGGTTTAGGTGTAAAATGAGAAGATACAGGTAGGAGGTTTAGAAGGGATAAGGGGTAGAATGTGAAGATACAGACAATGAGGTTTGAAAGGGATAAGAAGTAGAATGAGAAGATACAGGTGAGAAGTTTAGAAGGGATAAGGGGTAGAATGTGAAGATACAGACAATGAGGTTTGAAAGGGATAAGGAGTAGAATGAGAAGATACAGGTGAGAAGTTTAGAAGGGATAAGGGGTAGAATGTGAAGATACAGACAATGAGGTTTGAAAGGGATAAGGAGTAGAATGAGAAGATACAGGTGAGAAGTTTAGAAGGGATAAGGAGTAGAATGAGAAGATACAGGCAAACTCTCAGAGGTTATCTTACCTGGAACCATCCAAAATATTTCCTTGGTCCCATTAATAGTTTATTATTCTAATTCTTGTATATATTAATATCCATGAACATCTCGACCTCTAAAAGAAACGGACTGTTCTGCCCAAATTGTAAGCATTTTTGCGTCGCTTGTAAATTTCAGTCGTACACTTGTAATCGTCGACCCTCACCCATACGCGAACACACGGACACAAACGCATCTCACTTAAACAAAGAGGATTTGAGTTAAATAAATGCATAGCCTGTTGTTTACGCGTACCGACGCCGACTGGCACAAAAGAGAGTCACTTGAGCTAAGAGAAAACAATAGGTAGAGAGAGAGAGGAGTTGAATTAACCCACGCTTTACAAACGCGCCATTGTTTACAATAATAAAAATCTATCTTTCTAAATCAGGAACATTAGACGTATAACGTGTGTAACAGCAAAACTGTCCAAATCGTGTAACAGCAAAATTGTCCAATTGTTAGATTAAGCTTTCAACCATTTTATCTTAGAGATGAGTAAAGATATCTTACTGGAATTTTTCGAGGTTTTTATAACGCTATCGGACTCTACTTCGGGCAATAAGTATGCATAATTACTCTCCAAGCTTAACAGAAGAATTGTGATGAAATCGATCATAAGCGAAAGTAACATGTTCATCATTAGTTAATCATAGCTAAGGATCGGAAGCTCATGAAGGTTTGAAATTAAATTCAAATATATATATATATATTATTCCAGGATCATTTTCCAACTTATTCAAGATGATCTACGCCATCTATAATGTGTCAATTTGAAAATCAGTATAACTTCATACTATATAACTTTCTAAATCGTGTACCAGCAAAATTTTCCAACTGTTAGATTAAGCCCTTAACCGTTGTATCTTAGAAATGATTAAAGATATCTTACTGGAAATTTCAGAGATTTCTATAACCCTATTAGTTTCTACTTTAAGCAATAAGTATGTATAATTACTCTCTGAGCTTAACAGAAGAATCGTGATGAAATCGACCATAAAGGAAAATGACATGCTCATCATTAATTAAATATAGTTAGGGATTGGAAGCTCATGAAGGATTTAAATTAAGTTCAAATACACACACACACACACACATATATATATATATATATATATATATAATTTTCTAACCTATTCAAGATGATCTTCGCCCTCTCTAACATTCTAACTTTCTGTCCTGGAGTAACAAGTTGCCTCACACGTTTCACGTACGATTTCCTTTTCAAGTCTTTTTCACTGCTCTTTGGATTGTCATAGGTGAAACTCCTCTCTCACGTGCCAAACGTCTTATGAATTGTGTTGGATCTTTTCTAATTGATCTCTTTAGCTCTCAGGTGAAAACTCATTTTTATTTATTCTTATTATTGTTCTTTTTTAACTAGCACAAGGCCCAAGATCAACTTTGTTATGTGCGCAGTAAGGGTAAGAGGCAC